AATGTTATTCATCACCAGGGACAGTGTTGTCAGTATGAATGTCATTCAGTACCAGGTACAGTGTTGTCAGTGTGAATGTCTTTCAGCACCAGGGACAGTGTAGTCATTGTGATTGTCATTCAGCACCAGGGACAATATAGTCAGTGTAGATGTCATTCAGCACCAGGGACAGTGTTGTCAGTGTGAAAGTCATTCAGCACCAGGTACAGTGTTGTCAGTGTTAATGTCATTCAGCACCAGGGACAGTGTTGTCAGTGTGAATGTCATTCAGCACTAGGGACAGTGTAGTCAGTGTTAACGTCATTCAGCAACATGGACGGTGCAGTTAGCGTAAATGTCATTCAGCACTAGGGACAGTGTAGTCAGTGTGAATGTCACCGGTGCATATTACATGAATACTTAGCCTTGTAACTCTCATCCTGAGCAACTTGTTTATGCTCCACTGTTCTAGCATATACACATATCATTTTTATCTTTTTCAGCTACGATGAAACTCAGTTTACCATGGCTGGCATTGTCTTATCCGTCACCAAGCAATTCAGTACTCAAGAAGACCTTGACAATGTAAGATAAAGTAGAGTATAGCTTCGTCGTTTTTTGTGAATTTGTATGCAACGCCTCACTAGCGGAATTTAGTACATAGTATCACCAGTATGATACAGAGTCAAGAAAAGTCTAAACTTTTGATGCAAATGCAGTCTTCTTTTCGCCTTATTTCACTATTGCTGACCTGCATTGTTTCCTCTATAGCTTGAACAGTTTCTGACAGATCATCCGAATCAGGGAACAGCGACTCGAGCCTTTTTTCAAGCAGTGGACTCCACCCGTGCGAATCTGAGGTTCCGCCAGGACAACGAGAGCAAGATCCGCGCCTGGCTAGAGAGGCTGGGTTGAGGAAATTAGTTTATAGGCCATAGATATATAGAAAGTAAATTTTATGGATGGCATCCTCCGCAGACACCAAATCTTGTTAAATAATGATTCTTTTTTTTATTTAGCGGCAACATCACATACAAAGGAATAAAATATACACATTTGTCTTCACATTTGTCTGTCATCCAAGTTGCAACATGCAGATGACAACAGACATATTTGCCCATTTTCGGCATGTTGACCACTATCAAAATCAGGCAAAAATTAATGCGCGCTGAAAATTACTTGCTGTGGCCTTACTTAAGTTCATAAGGTGTGTAAGACGTTATGATGCTTTATTTTACTACGAAAGGCCAACTATATGGCCATTTCTTTTACATAAACTTAAAAGTGCGTCACCTTGTAAAAGATCTCTGGTATTACTTAGCTTGTTGCCAATTATATCTCCGCTCTCAGCACTGAATATAGTCCTAGATAATGCCCACTTTGACACAGTGTGATAAAGCTATAGCAGAGGGCTGAGGTAAACATTACTAAACAAACAATAGGTAACTCTTCAACACCCTGGCTGCGTGGCCGTTGTGGCTTTCTTTTTATGTAGAATCTGTGATGTGTTGAAACAGCACTGACACCATGCTCATCATGTTGCATCAGTTTGCAGGAAATAATGATTTAAAAGGTTGTAATACCTGCAACCAATATGACGTACAGACTTTGGTGTATTCATCTTAGTGTGTTTGTTCCCAGTATTTGTTCTGTTAGGCAAGGCATTGAGGCAGCCATTGTACACTACAGTGTAACATATTAGTTTACCGGGGGCTAGTTAAGCTTGCTAGGAAAAGCATTTAACATTTTCAGAGGCGGCTACTTATTTAGTAGGTTTCAAGGGTTTTACATACAAATTTCGTTCGCCCCCCCCCCTCCATGTTTTCTTATGAACGCATGAGAACGTATCAGACAATGAAGCCACATCTCTACCATTGCATACATTTCTTATTCGATTAATTCTAGCGTATACTGATACACCATTGAGAAAAGGCTAGTCAAGAATATCTCCACAATGACAAGTTTATTTGTAGGACAGGAGCTATAAAGACTAAGTGTTCCACCTTCGCATTTGCCTGCGGTTCCGTTTATAACCCTCTTTGTTGCCACACTATTCAAAATGTCCGGATTCGCCAAGCGGTACAGTTTCAGGAGCGGGAAGGTTCACGACGAGTCCTGTAAGTTCTACAACGGCGCCCCGCTCGCCATCGCGGCGTGCTGCATTCTCATCTGTCTCGGGATCGGGCTGATCATCGGATTTGAGACAGACAGGGGTGGAGGACAGGTCAGGCCGTGGCAACAGGTGGGGCAATATAGCAGATTTCCATTGTCAATTTTAACCATGCATGAAAACCATGTTTTATTATGAGTGATATCGATGATGTAAGGTATAATTTCGAATTCCTCTTCATCACGGGTGCTGTATATTTAATATCGATACTTGACGACGTTGGTATTGTTAAGGTAGTGGCAATGATAACGTATAGGGCTAACTGGTTACTTGATGGCAAGGCAATAGACCATTCTGTAAGCATTATATATCGATTGTCATACAACGTAAGCGTTAGTAAGTGTTAGGCAGGAGCTTTGTCGCTTCTGTTTTGAGTGTGCTTGCATCAACGGACGTGCTGTATCAGAATCATTGCCTTCATATCCGGTTAAACAAAAACGTTCAAACTTCTATGTCACCCTTATTCTTTATCAATGATCAGGTCCGACTTCCGGAGTCGCTGTTACCCATTCACTATGACGTAGAACTGCGTGTTGACGTGACGGCGTTCACCGTGGTGGGACAGGTGAACGTCACGCTCAGGTGTGCCACGCCCACCAGGTACGTCATCCTACACTCCGCTGAGCTGGACATCGTCGATGGGGACGCTGCGCCAGGTATTCGGGGCGAAGGCGATGTCGTCACCACCTTGAGAGTTACCTCCTGGTTTCTCTATACAGGTACATCTTCTTCTACAGGTTTGATCTTTCCACGTTCACGTCACCTCTTCCTCAGCACAAGAGCTACCTACCATCCAAATTTCGTGACCCTAGCATGTCTAGATCATAAGATATCAAACCCGGAGGTTCAGCTGCAGTACCATAAAAAGCCGCCAGGAGGGCCGAAATCTAATCATTTCGAGGTATCATCAAGACAAGGACCACCTACCAAATATCAAGTTTATCCATTTAAGCCTTCTCAAGTCAGACAGGCAGACAGACCCACGAACACCTCTGAAAATAACCTTGTTGGTGAATGTAATAAAATGCAATCTAAACGCTCCTCCCGGTAGTATGGAGGATAACACTGTAACATCTTGCTGTATTAACAGAAAACCAGTACCTGGTTCTGGAGCTAGATTCGGAACTAACAAAGGGCGCCGTCTATACCGTCAGCCTCAACTTCAGAGGGACGCTGAGAGACGGACTGGTCGGGTTCTACCGGTCTTCGTATGTCAACAAGGACGGACAAACAAGGTGCCGTAGTCTGATATGATGCGAATCTATGTGTTCAAGAAATACTCTTATACATATGATATCTTGGAAAACATCCAGCGCTAACATGGTGATAGAATGTGAAAAATATATGGTCAAAATTAATGGTGTCGTACTTAATTGTTACATAATCGGGTGTCTCATGGGATTTGAAATGAATGTATTGGTTACATTTGTTCATTTTGCTATGAAATTTACAAAAGGCTTAGGCATTTGATAAAATGCCCATTAAGACAGTCACGGGAACATGGCATTCATATTGCGACAACAACTATCTGTTTCCACAGATATCTGGCCACGACCCACATGCAGCCGATGGGAGCCCGGCTGGCGTTTCCGTGTTTTGACGAGCCCGCTTTCAAGGCCACGTTCACGGTGACCCTGGTACACCGGGCCGGGTACACGGCCCTCGCCAACATGCCGCTGGAAAACAACGTGACCAGGTCAACTCATGGTTTCTTCTTTCTCTGGATATTTCGTTGTGGTGGGGTTTGGTCTACAATAACATGCAAGTAGACATGTTATTTCTCGACTTTGCCAAAGCATTTGATTCTATATTTCGTTGTGGTGGGGTTTGGGCTACAATAACATGCAAGTAGACATGTTATTTCTCGACTTTGCCAAAGCATTTGATTGTTTCTCATACCCTTTTGTCTTGACCCACAAGCTACAAACATTTGGCTTTGTCCCCAGGAAGATAACAGACGGTCGCCAAAACGTCGGCTGAATAAAAGACTTGGTTAAGAAGAGTCTCTTTACTCAGTGTCTTACCAAACTGATGAAACTATTCACAAACACAAATCACAAAACTAGGTGACAAGAGCGAGCGTATACATGTACCGTGGCATGTACATTCCCCAGATCTGTTTAGTCAATATTAAATATTGCTCTTATGATATCCCAAAACCAGAAACGATGGCTGGATCGCGGACCGGTTCCAGAGGTCCGTCCGTATGTCGACCTACCTGCTGGCGTTTGTGGTGTCTGACTTCACGTCTGTCAGTACAGTCTCGTCATCAGGGTTACAGGTGCTCATCTTTTACCATATCATATAGCACCAGTCATAGTTCCTGTTTTACTGTATAGTATCGTTCTGTGTAAGCCACCAAAGAAGATGCCGGGACTTCCCTTGTCTAGCCTGGTTACCATACTCAACGGGTCGGCTTCGGGGCAGCCATCCTATTGTTTGGCACCCAATAGGACTCTAGCCGGAATTTCTGCCGCCCCGTACTGAACTCTTATCGGGTGCCAAACAACCTCTAGCCGGCCGGAACACCCTGAAGCCGACCTGTTGAGTATGGTAACCAGGCGAATCTGGATGATTGTTCTGTGATTCAAGCAAATCCACCGTCAGCACTACATATTGATCATCTAGGAAGTCAAACTGCACCTCTAAGTAATTTATGTATCCAGTGTCTCCACGTGCACCATTACGGTACCATTTCTTCTGAAGTGCATATATGCTGTCAAATCATTTCCAGACCAGATTGTGGGCCCGCCCGCAGTACATTTCTGCGGGGATGGGGGACTACGCCCTGGACGTCGCTGACAAGATCGTGGCGTACTACGAGGAGTACTTTGACGTCCCCTTTCCTCTTCCAAAGATGGGTAGGAATCAACTACTACATGTGTTACCATCATCTTTCTGCCCCACGTGCTGCTGTACTACAATGTACTACAAATAAATGTCTCTTAAAGAGTGCAGAGAATTCAGTATTTCAATAAATATTAATATACAAAGTCGCTTTGCTTAATGCTTTATCCATCTTTCTGTAGAAACATATTTCTAGAAATGTATTTTTGTGGTTAGTAACAGTACTTAAGTACAAGTCAATAGAAGACGATCACTTCAGTGAAATACCATAAAACGTATCCAAAGTCCCATGTGATATTCTTATACCACGTACAGATCACATTTCTATCCCGGACTTTGCCATGGGTGCCATGGAGAACTGGGGCCTGATCACATATACCGAGAATCTGCTTCTGTACGACACAAGAAGCCCGTCTGCGTCAAAGAAGAGGGACACTGCACGGGCAGTAGCACATGAGCTGGCCCACCAGGTAATTTTGTACATCAGGCTTTCCAAGTAACAAGGGTAGCCACTATTTGTACGTGGTGTCGGGTGGCGTAGTGGTAGAGCGTTCGACTATGAAACGGCGAGACCCGGATTCGATCCCAAGTTGTACCCAAGACATGTCTGTACGTGCGCTCCGACTTTGTGCCCTTGAGAAAGGCACTTAACACGAATGGATATGGGTGAATGGGTACCTAATGAATGGGTGAATGGGTACCTAACTTCGGTTGGGGAAAGGCGTATTGAGGTCACCTGGTGTCGCCGAATGGCAGCCGCACTCCACAAAAGTGTGTGGAGCAAATATGTTATATGTATCATGTGATTGTAAACCCTAGCGCTATAAAAGGCTGCGATTGTTTGACCAAATTTATTATTGTAGAACAAACGTTACTTTGTCAGCCTTTGGGAGTATAGGCCATAGATATCCAACTATGACTCGTGCATATAAGATACCGTTAATATTGCAATTTCTTAAGCGATACCTGTGTAAACCACCATGGACATTATGACTATTATCATGGAGTTTTATGACACAGAGACACCTTGAGCAAGAAAGTTTATATTGCATTATAAACTTACGAAATAAGATGTTTATAGAGAAGTGATTGTTGTTGATAGTTGTTAATAGTTGTTGTTTGTTTTGCACTTGATCAAACGTCACGGTTCTCCTATCATCGTCTCCAGTGGTTTGGTAACTTAGTGACCATGGAATGGTGGGACGGCACGTGGTTAAACGAAGGCTTTGCCAGCTATGTGGAATATCTTGGGTACGGCTACGTGGAACCGGACCTTAACGTGGTATGTATGAGACTGCTTGCTTATCAAGGTAATGTGGTCCCGAAAGAGCACAAATATGTTAGGATTCAGGTAGCAATGGATTTCCAACATAACTAGAAAGGTAACATTTGCAAAGCAAATGCATAATGCTTACCTTCGCATATAGTCTGCTCTATTAATATCTATTCAAAGACATTCACAGGAGTCCAAATTCCTCCTGTTATAAAATTGCAACATGTCGTAACCCAACACCAGTTACCATGGTGACTGACGTTTGGTTCAGGTCATTGACATTAAGTGTTTGGAGAAGAGGAAGCTGAGCAAAACGATGTTTTCCTTCGGTAAACATAATTAGTACATTTATATAGTGAAACAGATCAACATCGGCATGTGGTAGACGTTTGAGAATTGAATGTCCTTGTTCTTAAAGTAGGTATCGACCAATTAAACAGACGCCTTTGTCTTCGCTGATTGCAGATGGAGCAGTTTGCCTACTCCAGGACTCAGGGTGTCATGAAGGACGACTCTCTGACGTCATCACATCCGATCTTCCAACCAGTCATCCACCCCAACGAGACTAGAGCGATCTTTGACAGTATCACTTATAGCAAGGTATGTACTAGCCTCGTTAGCAGGCTCTGTGACTGGGCTTTTATGGGAGCCTTAATAATGCGCTTTTTGTCTTTCTATTGGTACCTGGGTTTTTTTCGTCATAGAGCCTGCTAAAAATTAAATGTATATTCGCTGATGCGCTCTGTTCTACTACTGTGTGCAATAAAAATGTGTATACTTGTGCAAGCATCCTACATACAGCTGCAAGTCTACTGTGTCCTTTCCTTTTTTTGGCTGTTATTGGCATCTTGATATGTGAATCTGTGTCAGAAATGTTGAGATAATGTGTTAGGATGTCCACACGGTTTTCAAAATGACGTTGGGGCCAGGCGGCCACATAATCATTGATTACCATATATCGCACATTAACATTGCATAACATTAACATAAGGCGGCGACAGGTTTAAAGCTAGTATTTAAGGCAGATGTGGGTTTGTCTGGTAGTGGATAAGCATGTAGATTACATGTACTGTACAACTCGCATGGTCCCTCTCTGTTTGCATCTACAGGGAGCATCTATCCTGAGAATGCTGGGCAACTTTCTTGGGGAAAGCACCTTCAGAAAGGGCCTAAAGGTAACGTCCGCAGACCAAGATATATACTCGTTATGTCTTCAAGAAAAAAAAAAAGAAGTTAGCCGAAGATTGCGAAAACAACTTTAGACTAACATGTTGCAAATACCAAGAAGTCACCTACTGACTACCTTACCAAATCAAATCTGCTGGCGCATGGCGTCGAGTCTGTTTCCTTGTATCCAGTGTGGTATTTCTATGAATATGTAAGTTCTTGTCTACTGCAGGCCTACTTGGAAAGAAACGCTTACAGCAACGCGGTACAGGACGAGCTGTGGGAAGAATTAACTCTGGTATGTTCAAGAAAGGACATTACATGCGATTTGTTTAAGACGAAAAAGGGTCAGCAATATATTGCGATCCAAATAACACTTTATGAATAATCGGTATATTCAATTCTTTTAAGATAGAGTAAACGTAAAATAGAAGTGGACTGGTATTGCAAACACGAAGTTTTGTGGCATATATTACATGGAAATACAAAATCTTTCATTCAAAAGTACAAACTGTCAAGACATCTAGAGTTTGTGGTCTTAGATATCTTCTGGTATAGATTACGCACTGTACGTGTATCTGTGTTGTAATATAAGAACTTTCGCAATCCTAACCACCCAGGCGGCCAGAGCGGACGGACAGACTGACCTGGACGTGAAGACTGTGATGGACACCTGGACACTACAGATGGGATATCCCGTGGTCAGCCTGACCAGAGACTACGGGCGTGGCACAGCTCAGGCCACTCAGCAATACTTTCTACTGGACCCGACGGCCAGTACCAGTGCACCGTCTGACTTTGGGTACGGCATGATTGTACATTCTGTGTCCATGCCTTGCGAAGACAAAATGTTGCTCATTGACGGAATAACTTATTATTATCATTACACCACAAGTACCTCCATGTGGACCCCACTGTTATTGAGAGTGAAGAGTTTATAGTCTCATGTTTATCATCCAATTGTATTGATAGTGTATCCCGTTGAGTTTTTACAGCAATAAGCAACAAAATAGCAAAGCCCTGCAAAGCATACATTTGTATCATCTTAAGATCCGGATGAATTTCAATGAGATGAGATGAAAACCATCTTTAACGCTCTACACAAAAAAAACGGGATCAAGTGGTAAATCATCATTCCTGAGAATGTACCTTTTGTGCGAAAACCCTGCAGGTACAGGTGGCACATACCACTAACGTTCATCACCAGAGGGAACTCATTTGATCAGCCGGAGCAGGTCTGGATGCGGCCGGATCAAGGTAAAAAAACGATTTGCCTTTGTGCATCTCAATTACGCGATTGTATTTTGTGAACAATTTGGAAAGCTAGAGCATACATCGTGCTGGTACATTCCTTGCGTACGTACGAACCATAGTTACCATACCCTCATCTTCTTTTGTCCCTAGATACCAGTTCAGTCAACTTGCAAGGTGCCGGCAGCGATGACTGGGTACTGGCTAACATCCATCGAGTCGGGTACTACAGAGTCAACTACGACCAGACCAACTGGCAACTGCTTATCGACCATCTCAACAGCGACCTCTATGAAGTGTGTTCAGTTCTGCGATCATGTAGCTATTCCACAGTCATCAACGACCATCATCGAAATCATAATCATCAATCGAATTAAACACCGATCATCTTTTTTCAGACACATTCTAGTTGCATGCAGTGACTCATGAAATGCATGATACCAATATGTATATCTTGTATGTACATTCGTTTATGGAAAGTTGCATGTTGCAAGTGTATCAGTTTATTTTATCCTTTGTAGCTGTAATCATCAAGATTTATGTCACCTTGCACAGGACATACCACCGGATAACAGAGGAACTCTGGTCGACGACGCGTTCAACCTTGGCCGGTAAGAGAGCAAATTGGGCAACATTGTCTTTTGTCACATCCTTTGTCTCTGAAAGGTCCTTGAGAAATTGCAAAATACTACTGACTATTCATGACTTTATTTCCACAAAATCATATCTTATCATACGTTTCTGGTACCTCTGTAGTGCTGGACAACTGGACCTGTCCACGGCACTGGACTTGACGAGGTACTTGGTGCGAGAGCGACACTTCATTCCGTGGAGCATGGCCAAGGCAGCCATGGACTATGTGGTAACTGTCTTTGGCTCTGTCAGAGACATATACGACAACTGGCAGGTGCGTTTAGTAAAATGTTCTGTTATTATGTTTGCCGGAGGAAAACATGTTGTTTTTCCTCTGTTTCTTCTTCTTCTTCTTCAAACATATAAGGTCAATCAACTAAACCAGACGTCTGTCACCATGGTAACTAGTGTTGAGTTACATCATGTTGCAATTTTATAGCAGGAGGGATTTAGACTCCTGTCTGACCATGTATATCAATTCGTTTGAGTAAGGATTAAACAGAGCAGACCATATGCGAACATAGACATTATGCATTTGCTTTGCAAATGTTACCTTTCTAGTATCTAGCTTGTTTTCTCTGTAGACGGCTAAGCGCAATGTTGAATGTTTTTATGAGTTCTAGATCTTTTCTGATGATGATGATGTTGCAATGCAATCCGCTAAATAGATAAAAATTTTCCTGCACTTATTAATGGTTCCCTACCAGTCTGATTCCACATGCGCCCAACAGCATTGTAAGAAATAGGTTTCTAGTAGAATGTCCTTCTGTACATTTCCAGGCCCACATGGTGCAACTGATAGGTCCTTTTTACAACGAGGTTGGATGGACTCCTCAACAGAGCGATTATAACACCGAGTAAGAAACCACTTTTTGTTGTAACTCATTCCTACACGTATTTTACCACATATAGATGAATACACGGGACTATTTTGTATACATGTTCTGACCACCAGAAGCATTTGCTTGAATAATCATAGATGTGTATTCCTGAATTTGATTTGCAGGGCTGGGCAAGTCCTGGCTATATCAACCGCCTGTACTTACGGACAGACGGGCTGTGTTAACAACGCCACAGCGCTGTTCCGGCAGTGGATGGACACAAACAACAACAGGTAACAAACAAACAAACAAAGCCTTTCGGAATGGTAGCAACCAAGTCTGTGTGTGTGGTGTAAAGATGTGGAGATTAGCCTTGTAAGAGAATAAGCCGTACGTATACAGTAATACTCCACTGTAAAGTATGCTGGTGGCATTCATAGTTTGCATGATACTTCCTGCCTTTTATTAGCATTCAGAAGAATGCACAATGAAGGCACTAGGCGTGGCGAGCGGCATTGACCATTGCACTATCAGCTAATAGACTCACCCAGAAAAAGTGGCATATTCTACTAGATATTTGACTAGTTGTAAGAGTACAAAAACTGATAAAGTGGGTTGACTTTCCAACATGCCTCCTTCATAGCCACATTCCGGAGACCTTCAAGTCCACGATATACTGCACTGCCATACGGTACGGGGGCAGTCGGGAGTGGGACTTCGCCTGGCAGCGGTACCTGGAAGCCGAGCCGTCGGAGCAGAGCCTTCTCCTGTCCGCCATGGCCTGTAGCCGTGATACGGTCATCCTCAGCAGGTTCGGCAAACAGTAATGTTTATATACGAGAGCCTATGTACTAGTATGTCGGCGAACGTTTAGACATCCAGGTAACGTCTAAACATTTTTAAAAGCATATACAGTTGCTTGAGTACTTACGTACTCCTTTAGCAGTAAAAGTCTACAGTGTGATCCAAGGGATATTGTATAAAGAAATCACCAACCGTTCTCTTTCCGACTTTTTTCTAAGACTATATGACTAAATTTATGCCACCGTCCTTGAAATTCAATCACAAGACTGGCCCTTACGTGTGATATTTCGACAAATGTATGTTGATTGTATTCTGACAATTTCTGGACGTTGGACGAAACCATTGGAAAAACAACCTTTTTGAAGTATTCTAAACGTAACCATTTTGCACATCACAAAAATGACGCGATTAATTTTTTTTACGTGCAGGTATCTTGAAAGAAGTACAGACGCCGCCCTCGTCCGCAGGCAGTCGGCTCCTGACGTCATCAGCTACGTAGGAGGGAGTGACGTAGGCAAGTCTCTGGCCTGGAACTTCCTGGTCGACAACTGGGACTTCTACGTGGAGAAGTAAGAAAGGCCGTAAACGGTTTTCAGTGTGAATGTTATTCATCACCAGGGACAGTGTAGTCATTGTAAAATGCACCAGGGACAATATCGCCAGTGTGAATGTAATTCAGCACCAGGGACAGTGTTGTCAGTATGAATGTTATTCAGTACCAGGGACAGTGTTGTCAATGTGAATGTTATTCAGTACCAGGGACAGTGTAGTCATTGTGATTGTCATTCAGCACCAGGGACAATATAGTCAGTGTGGATGTCATTCAGCACCAGGGACAGTGTTGTCAGTGTGAAAGTCATTCAGCACCAGGTAAAGTGTTGTCAGTGTTAATGTCATTCAGCACCAGGGACAGTGTTGTCAGTGTAAATGTCATTCAGCACTAGGGACAGTGTAGTCATTGTTAATGTCATTCAGCACCAGGGACAGTGTTGTCAGTCTGGATGTTCAGCACCAGGAACAGTGTTGCCATCATGAATGTCATTCAGCGCCAGGGACAGTGTTTTCAGTGTGAAAGTCATTCAGCACCACTGACAGTGTTGTCAGTATGAATGCAATTCAGTACCAGGGACAGTGTTGTCAGTATGAATGTTATTCAGTACCAGGGACAGTGTTGTCAGTATGAATGTTATTCAGCACCAGGGACAGTGTTGTCAGTATGAATGTTATTCAGCACCAGGGACAGTGTTGTCAGTGTGAATGCAATTCAGTACCAGGGACAGTGTTGTCAGTATGAATGTTATTCAGTACCAGGGACAGTGTTGTCAATGTGAATGTCATTCAGCACCAGGGACAGTGTAGTCATTGTTAATGTCATTCAGTACCAGGGACAGTGTTGCCATCATGAATGTCATTCAGCACCAGGGACAGTGTTGCCATCATGAATGTCATTCAGCACCAGGGACAGTGTTGTCAGTATGGGTGTCATTAAACACCAGGGACAGTGGTGTCTCTGTGAATGTCATTCAGCACCAGGGACAGTGTGGTCAGTGTGAATGTCATTCAGCACCAGGGACAGTGTGGTCAGTGTGAATGTCATTCAGTACCAAGGACAGTGTTGTCAATTGAATGTCTTTCACTGATGACTGGTACTGAATAACATTCACACTGACAACACTGTCCCTGGTACTGAATAACATTCATACTGACAACACTGTCCCTGGTGCTGAATTACATTCACACTGACAACACTGTCCCTGAATGACATTCACACTGACAACACTGTCCCTGCTACTGAATGACATTCACACTGACTGCACTTCCCCAAGTGCTAAATGACATTCACACTGACAACACTGGCCCTGGTACTGAATGACAATGTTGTCAGCGTGAATGTCTTTCAGCACCAGGGACAGTGTTGTCAGCGTAAATGTCACCGGTGCAAATATCATTAATACTTAGCCTTGTAATTATCATCCTGAGCAACTTGTTTATGCTCCGTTGTGCTAACAATTATCTTCTTCTCTCTTTAGCTACGATGAAACTCAGTTTACCATGGCTAGCATTGTCTTATCCGTCACCAAGCAATTCAGTACTCAAGAGGACCTTGACAATGTAAGATCTTGACACCAAACTATTCCTATAGGTACCCTAACTATAGATAAAATAGATTATATACGTAGCTTCGTCGTTTTTTGTGAATTTGTATGCAACGCCTCACTGGCTGATTTTAGTTTATAGTGTCACCAGTATGATCCAGAGTCAAGAAAAGTCTAAAAGTCTAAACTTTTGATGTAAATGTAGTCTCCTCTTCGCCTTATTTCACTATTGCTGACCTCCATTGTTTCCTCTTTAGCTTGAACAGTTTCTGACAAAACATCCGAATCAGGGAACAGCGACTCGAGCCTTTTCTCATGCAGTGGACTCCACCCGTGCGAACCTGAGGTTCCGCCAGGACAACGAGAGCAAGATCCGCGCCTGGCTAGAGAGGCTGGCTTGAGGAAATTAGTTTAAAGAACACAACAAGTAAATTTTATGGATGGCATCCTCCGCAGACACCAAATCTAACGTGATAGGGCGAAAAAAGGCGTGCAAAAAAGCAAGATTTATATATTTTCAGAATTTTGAGATCATAAACCTTGTTAATGATTTTTTTTTTATTCAGCGGCAACTTACTTACTTACTTAGTTCGAGATCTCGCTCGAACCAATCCAGAATGTCTCCTCCACAACACTTGGTCTTCCATGGCCCTTCGCAATTCAGTAGATACTTTGAATGCTATCGAAGCCTTTACGGAAGTCTACAAATATAGTCAGCGGCAACATCACATATAAAGGAATGAAATATGCACATCTCTCTTCACATTGGTCTGTCATCCAAGTTCCAGCATGGTATAACAGACATATTTGTCCATTTTCGAAATGTTGACCACTGTCAAAGGGTAACATTTTTTTTCCAAAATCAGGCGAAGACTAATGCGCGCTGATGTCATCCATTAAATTACTTGCTGTGGCCTTACTTAAGTTCATAAGCTGTGTAAGACGTTTTGTTGCTTTATTTTACTAGTAGTTGCTATGTGGTCATTTCTTTTACATAACCTTAAAGTGCATCATCTTGTACTTGACAGCTTAAGCTTGTTGCCAAATATCTCCGCTCTCAGCACTGAATATAGTCTTAAATAATGCCCGCTTTGACCCAGTGTGATAAAGCTATGGCAGAGGGTTGAGGTAAACATTACTAAACAAACAATAGGTAACTCTTCAACGCCCTACCTGCGTGGCCTTTGTGGCTTTCTTCTTATGTAGAATCTGTGATGTGTTGAAACAGCACTGACAATCATGTTGTCATGTCGTCATGTTGCATCAGTTTGCAGAAAATAATGACATGAAAGGTTATCATACCTGCAAGTAATATGTCGTACAGACTTTGGTGTGTTCATCCTAGTGTTTGTTGTTTATTTTGGGGGTCATGAAATGAGTGCCTCAGAAAGTAACGAATATTTCACATTAATTCCACAGACACATATTTCTTCACCCTCTTTTACACGTTATACGGATAAAAAGATAGTCTTAATAATTTTCTGTAACAGAATGTTTGCAGTGGTATTTTAAACACATTGGCTCATTTATCTATGGAACACGTTATAGTCTGAAATGGTTGCCTTTTGTTGTTTTCCTACTTCTTGTCACACGATTGAAAAAAACATGTCAGGCTTCGCTAGACGTTCTATCACTATAAGCCTAAGAACAGACGACGAGTCCTGTGACAGTCGCCACCGGCGGAGGTATAGTTCTGTGTTCTGGCTGTGCTGCGTCCTGATATGTGTCGGGATCGGACTCATCATCGGGCTTCGGGCAACTGGTGGCGGCAGCTAAGGATGGCAACAGGTGGGGTTTTTTTTTACATAATGATACATGCGATACATGTAATAAGATAATTTGAAACTTGAAATTGTCCTACGGTTTATGACCATAGCGCAAAGGTCTGTCATCTGGCATATATAAATTTGTCGTGTAACAGAAAGACTGTAAAATATTATCCTTCAAAGCATATTAAGACCTGTACTGTGTCTATGGGCGTGCAAAATCTCCCATATACTAGTATGATGGCAAAACAAGAATGATGACATAATATTAATAAATCCTACCCAACTACTTTTAATTTTTGAAATCAAGGAGTACAAATGACAATATTATGAAAATTGTGGGCTACCTCCCATGCATATTTCCCACTGTGTAATGAATTACATGTAAAGTTACAGTTACGTGGTCAATGAGTAACGATGTTTGATCGAGTTCCAACGTAGGCGAAAATAATACAGTATGTTACTGAAAGGTTGTAGTACATACTCTCCGAGCATAGGTTTGGGTTATTTTTGGCGTGTTTTTAGCCTTTTTTTATCGGGATTTCTTTTTTTGCATTGAATTTTAATTCACCTAACCCCCCCAAAAAATTCCAGTGCAAAAAAAACGATAACAAAGCCTAAAAGCACGCCAAAATAGCCCAAACCTCTGCTTGGACAGTAGTAGTGCACACACAATGCCGTATTTCAATCGATCACCCGGTACTCTGTAGTCCTTGTACGCATGTTGTGAACAGTTACATGAAAGCTGATGTTTCTCCCTCACAGTCACGGCCACGGCTTTCACTGCAGTATGAACAGCTTCTGAAGGGCCATTCTCATCGGAGAACAAGGATACGGTCGACCCTTCCAAACCGGTGGATTACAAGGAACTAACCGCGCTGAGTGTCATCGAGAAAACCCGACAGTGTCAGTGGCAGAAAAGCTGGGAAACTCATCAACCATATACATGTACATGCACTAAGTATGATGGCAAAAGAAGAAATTACTAGGATTTCTGTAACTACTTTTAAAGCCTTTCAGAATCAAAATCAAGTACAAATGACGATATTATGAAACATGTGGGCTACTTCCCATATTTTCCACTGCTGGGAAACTCAAGACCTACATCCCTCGACCGGACATCCACCATCCGAAGAACACTGTACTATATATAAACCGGTGTCAAACCAACATGGGCACAGAACCAGATATGTACAAAATGTATTTGCAACATGGAAAACTTTTAAAATGGAAAAACAAAACATAAATAGTTATGTTTACCGAAGGAAAACAAATTGTTTTTGCTCTGTTTCCTCTTCTCCTTCTTCTTCTCCAAACCAATAAGGTCAATGACCTGAATCAGACGTCTGTCACCATATATGCATATATGATAAACGTGTTTGACTCTGAGTAAGAAGTAACAGAGCAGACCATATATGCGAAGGTAAACATTATACATTTGTTTTGCAAATGTTACCTTTCTAGCTTATAAAAAGCTTTCACGTGTTGTTGTTTAATAGTCATCCCCCTACGGAAAACAAAACTTCTCCTGAAGTTTAACTTAAAAAAAAAATAATATACTAGAACTCTGTAACAACAAGAAACTTTACGAACAAAAATATATAGTACAATGAGGATCACTACTGTCAGTACTAATAGTACTGAACAACAGATGCCAACTTGAACTAAATGGCACTGATCGCTTATCTATATAGAATTGTGTTAACCAATAAAAAGAAAAAATAGCCGTCACGACCTGACATAGTTGTACCATACTTTGTCGAACTCTGACATGAATATAGTACACAATACTGTGACTACGGAGCATTGCCATCATAGAAACATCATCAAAATACAATATCGGCATAATTTTAAACATCGTCAAAAACATCATCAAAACACATCGTTACATCATCAAAACGCCACGCCGGCAGTCCCTTGTTTTAACAGTCTCACTGACTCCGCTTCGCCGGTTACGCCACGCCGGCTACAGCTCCGCCTTGTTGGCTCCGCCTGCTGCTCCACCTGCTAGCTCCACCTCACCGGTTCCGTCCAAAAACCGGCTAAATGGGATTGGGGCATACATACAACTGCTGCATTTTTTGTTATTTTTTACAGGTGAGTTCCTCCGTCGGTACCAGCAGCTGTTCCAGGTGTGCCTTCCTGACAAGCCACCTGAATTATAAGGAAGACACACCGAGAAAATTCTCATCGTAACGTCATGGGCCTTAGATGCACATATGCAGAAGGCTGGTCATGCTGGTGTTCCGTCGTTAGAATACGCTTCTATCCTTTGTAACATTCTATATATCATTATGAATTGTCATATCTCTTAGATGTTGAAAAAACAAAACATAAATTTCGTATGGACTACAAGAAACACATCTATATGGAGCATCTATGGTGTGGCCTTACCACTGTTCTTTTGTGTAAGTACAATTTTTATGTGTGTCATATGCAATACTACTAGTAACTATAGACATTATAGGTTAGGAAAAGGGATTACCAAAGACAAACAGGTACATAAGATAAAGCGTTTCCCCTACATGGGAAAGGGAGACACATTGTTTCATCCCATTATTTCTTTAATGTTAACCATGTTACACTGATAAATTCAGTATTTCGTTATATATGTAGCTACTTAAAATAACGACAGGTTATGGAAGATGGGGTAGGTAAATTAATACAAAACTAGAAAGGCCGACATTTGCTTTCGAGCAAATACAGCATGGCTTCACCACATTTCACGACATGGCAGGGAAAGATGGAGAAACACTCGACTTGACTTTCGAGAGAAACACAGGGGAAAACAATGCTTTATGTTGATATAACTATATTATGAATCGACATATAATCAAGAATACAACAGTTGGATAGCTATCCCTTACATTATTTGCAAGAAAGTGTGGCAATCCTACTAAAATAATTGAATGCAGTTCAGCTGTCAATATGCTATATCCTGGGCATGTGTCCAATGTGTTAATCCAATTACTAGTAGTCCAGCACCCAATCAGCAAGAAGATTACAACAGCCTTACGATCTCGAAAGCTGCATTCCTTGTTGTTGTTGCTCTCTGCATTCCTTACTGATAATGTCATGCTATACAGTAAGTATACTTCACACGCTAAATATGAACGCTGAATAAAATCTTGTCATCGCAGTTTTAGGGACATTTTCCAGACAGCCAAGGAGGCTCCCGGTGCCATTTGGACTGAAAACGATTCAGCAATTACGAAGCCGCATGCTAGATAAAAAGGCACCGCTTTCGCAAGCTCGGAGGTGTCCAAAAACACCTCCTCGATTCCTGTTTTCCTGCAGTGTTCTACGAGTTGTTTCACGAGTAACTTCCCCACTCCTTTGCCCCTCCATGAGGGAAGGACTCGCATGCGTTTCAGCTCGGCTGTCGCTTCAGATGTCCTGTCTAGGGCTATTGTCCCGACAGCCTTTCCCTCCTGGTTAACTGCAATCCAGAACCTTCCGCCAGGCCTGCCAGCGTACCATCCGTGCAAATCTCCCAACTCCTGACGGCATTCAGAAAGGTGCTGTTGATGTTGAAGGTATACAAAGACGAAGGATGACAAAAGCGCCCCTAGCGGAGGCAACAGAACTGACAGGACGACAGACTCTGTCACCTTGTAGACAAAAACGAGAAGAATCGCTAACCAGACGCAGCCCAAAGGCTTAAACATAAGTTTCAAAGTATTCCGGAAAGTCATAAAATCTTGAAACAATCCAGAGAGAACCATCTCCCCGATATCCCGAGATTCCTCCGGTCGAAGCTCCCTGATCACGATTTCCGTCCTTCCCATGATGCTTTGTTCTTTTTTGCCAGCTAAATAAGTGCACCTGGTAGGGAAATAAAAAGTATACAATCATGTATTTAGCTTCTAGATTGACTTAAAATGTTGTCTTGAATAGATCGTTGTCGGTGTTCAGCGGTTCTGTTGCATCAAGGCCAAGGTTCAATGACCTTCAATGGCCTGGTCACAGCGCCTGATGGGTCAATGATCATGTGACTGCTTCATAACCGCTTGACCCCAACCTCAGCCTTAGGCCCTCTTAAGGGTTTCGTTAACCGTTATGGGCTATTTTATCGTTGCCGGCCCGCTCTAATTTAACGTTAAGCGTTAGCGTTATCGGCATATTCCTCGTGAAGCGTTTTTGGTCCTTTTATTTCTACGTAGCGCGTTATTTGTCATCCTGAAGTTACCTTAGAATACTGAATAATAAGCCATTCTTCGTTACACGAGGGCCTGCAAGGGGGGTAGTGATTACGAATTACGCAAAATTTTCGCCGCCTGATTACGAATTACGTTAAAGTCTCAGAGCTGATTACGACTTTACGATTTGCGGCTATTGTCCTATTACGAATTACGTTGATAACTTGATTTTTGCGGAGGCTGCCTACGGATTACGAAGTCTAAAACGGCCGGCCTGATTACGCCTTAAGAAAAAGTGCTTGCAGGCCCCCTTACACGTAGACCTGCGGTACTAGTATGTGAAACCTCAAGTAGCCGTCGCGACGTGTTGTCACTTTACTAACTCGTTTGTTATAAAGGCTTTTCTTAAATATTTCATGCCACACATCTTCATTTACTTTTTTAGGATAGAAATTCAACGACCTCATGCCGGCGCCTTTATTCATTCATGCGGACTAGCTTCGCGGGTCCGTGTTTGTACATAATAACGTTACACACCAAATGGTACATGCACACAAATGCTACCAAAAACATATTAACCTTCTGGTGTAGGTAAAAATTAGAAAATCACCTAGAACCGCAGAGCCAGCGAATCCGTGGAGATCGTTGGGAAATGGTCACGTACACATTGACCCCGTAAAATATTACTTCCGGGTCACGACTAGTAAGAAGAGGAACTTCATTGCGCAACAGATGTAGCGGGTACAACGTATGGCAATACATAGTTTGTGGTGTTAACATACACATATGGTGGTGTTGACGGTTCTACTAACTGTAATAGGAATCTGGTCTTCTTCATAAACAATGTATAACAAAAGAGAGACACTAATTATACTAATCTAACTCTATTAATACAATGTAGTAATAAATTGTGTCAGGAATTAATTACGTTTTCTCGTTTTGTCATGGAATTGTGTACAAATTGGCCTACATAAGTGGAAATGTTGACAGGGCATGAATTGATAGTAACATATAGAATATCTCTGTCTTTGTATGGGGTAGTGTTATATTGGTCTTACTAATATGTTGTAACAATTTTCGTCGGTTTTCATCATAGGTTGGGCAATCTATTTTAAAATATACTAGTAATTCGTTTTCAACGCCTTTATAGTAGTCTATTATTAGAAAGGGGTGTTGCAAGAGAGTGACCTTTTCACCTCCATCTGTATTTTCCGCAGTCGCCCTTTTTTCGCAATGGTGACAAGAGCAACGTAACAATTCATCCGTAAAATTTGAGGGGTCTATGCCCGGTATCAAACCAACATGGACACAGGACCATATATGGTCATTTATGCATATTATGCAACGTTGAAAACTTTCAAACGAACAAAACAAAACATAAATAGTTTTAAAAAGCTTTTACTTGTCGTTGTTTTTAGTCATCAGGTATACTACCGTATAGGGGCATATTCGCATAAAACGTAAGAATAGTCCATTACTAACTAACATTCAGTAATGATTCATAGAAAAGTACAGACATAATTCATTGTAGTCTTAAAATCTGTGTCAGGAATTGGCTTCCCTTTTAATGACACAACCCAGTCAGTACGTCTGTTTTCTTTTAAGTTTTATACAGCAACCTATCAATGGTTTTCCATTGCCTATACATGTATACTGCAGTATCAGCATGAACTGCCAGGTGTCGCAGAAAAGCTGCATGTAAACAGTGCTATAATTGTATAAGCTTGTACAAATGGCTGACAATGCAGAACATAGAATTGAGTTGACGAAAGAACATATTTGGCAAATAAAACTATCTAACACCGTAGCAAGTTAATTGTAGCAAGTTAATTGCACGGTATTTTACAAACGTATCGAACTTTAGGTTTTAATCTGACGGAAACTTTGGAGGTGTGGCTAGACAGTCAGGTTTATGTATTATTGTCGATATCGTGCCTGCCCCGAAAGATGAGAAAGCGTAACCATAAACAAATACCATAGGTCACACGGTCTCTACTAACCAGTCTGTTAAATTGACGTAGGATGGCGCAAATACTTTCACTTTTTGACAAAGTGGTGATCACGTGATCATACCCTGGGTACGAGAGCGCTGAGTACCCCGGGGCTGTGAATCCTCCACGGCGCATGCTCGGCGCCATAATGAACCAGGACCTGTGTACAAAGCTCTCGCCGATCGAGGAAGTGGAGCTTTATTCCGACATTTCCTACGTCAACATCGCCGTGTGGGCCTCCAGGATAGCATGGCACATGTGATCGCAGTTTCTCCCAGCGCCCGGACGTGATTTGAAGCCGGAATGAAGCGTCTGACGCTGAAAAACTTGAAGCGCTCCCTGCACCACCAAAGTAAACAAGGTGGGAGGCGAGGGCATAGAGGAGACGTACAGCGACTCGGAGGCGACGTGTCGCGGGGAGG